GTCTATACTCAAGAGGTAAGTGGATGGATGAAGTTGCTTGTAGTAATTCACATTATGGAATGGTAGCTTACCATGGTCGAGGAAATGTTGCTTGGTCTTGGTTCTGGTACAGAATACAAGAGCGATGAAAAGGAGATGGGTTAGTTGGGTATTTACAGAAATGCCAAGAGTGGCATGATTGAGGTGTAGTACAGCTCCTGAAAATCTGCTAGAAGGCTCCAATTAAACAAATGATGTACAGCTTGGAAAGAGCCAGGCTAGCCCCTGATTCCAGTCTCTATGCTAAACTAAGCTAACCATGGCCTGACTCCAGATGATTGATTCAAGGTGATTCTTCAGCCTTATTATTAAGCACTATACAACTGCAGAGCAAATGTAGTGTGATGAAAGGCGGCGTGATCCAAACATCAGCATTCTTTATTTCAAAATGAAGCATATATGGTAGCATCTATGCAACATATCTCCATCCAAAATGAAACGTCAACTGTGTTTAAATGGGCTTGACTGTCAACTATTCAATGCCAATTACATGATAACATTTATTGGATGATAACGAAATCAGTTAGTGAGCTAGGCTGAATAAACACTTAGACCGTAGTAAGTAATATTACTGTAACTTACTTTTTGTATATTATGTGCGTCAAGTAAGTTACAGCAAATGAGACAAACTAAAGTGTAAAATCACAATATGTTTCACATGCTTTGCAGTAATGTTAGCTTACCTTTCCAATAGAATGAAAGCCAACTCTGGGTCGGTTTTTATATCCAAAACAAAACGGAGGTCTCTCCATGACACAAACACAATGTTAAACGGTGTTTTCGCCCGACGTTGATCTGATTCTCGTTTGGCCTGACAGGCTTCAGCAAATAAAACTTTGTTGGTGTTTTTATCCTTACGTTTCTGTTGGAGTCTGTGTTGTGCTGGGAGCCGGTCATTTTATGGTGTTAGCGGACTCCATTTTGTTAGCTGTTAGCAATTCAGAATCAGTAGGCAAGATTTTCGGGAGCGCACGTGCAGAAAATCTGACCCGATTTTTGCACATATGTAGCAGAATAGTGGCTGTTCCAAGCAACCAAGAAAACAGGCGTGTGGTTCATTTTTATGTGAAGGACCAACCTGTTCACAAATAGGCAATAGAAAAGTTATTAATTGATAAGTGATTTCATTAAAAAAAAACTACATATAGCACCTTTAAAGCGCTTAAGCCTGTTGTCTCAAGGTCCTCTTTCACTTTCCAGCAGCTTTCAACCACTTCTTACTGCCATTATCAGTGATTGGAGTTGGCTCAATTGTCATGGAGTTGGTTAAGTATTTATAAACTGGAAGTTTTTTAACTGATACCTTACAGGAAATGAGGGGAGAGAGAAATGACTAACTACATGAGACAAAAAAGCACGTAGTTGTTCTTTATGGTCAGCACCTTAACCCATCGGGGCACCCCCAAAAGAACATAACTTTTATAACATGATGTTCACAGTTATTTAGATCTACAGTTCAGCTGACAACACACCTCCACTAAGCACCTACTTTTTCAACAAATATTCTTTCTCACTTTCTGATGCCACCTACCACGGTGTGTGGAAAATGGCAGAATAAACTACAGAAACCTCTAAACGCTACAAGCAAAAATATGCTACTCACAACATGTCTTACCTTGCTGTCAAGAGACAACAAGATGACTACAGAATTCAAAAGATTTAATTCAGAGGAGAGAATAAAGAAAAAGCATGTAAAGTTCTCCCTTTTAAATGTCACCTCTTAGAATAAGTCATTCATTTTATTAATATAAACTGCTGAGAAATGTAAACATACTAAATTTAAGAGAGGCTCTTACGGATTTTGAAAGAGTTATTCTGCGATGTGTCTACCAGCTATTAGGCAAAAGCACATTAAATTGCTAGACTTTTGAACGGAGTTTGGCTCTACACAAAATAGAACAGCATGTGTCCAATTCAAACCAAACATCTGCCTTCAATAAGAGGAGAGCAGCTCCTTAGAAGTGCAGGCAAAAACAAACATAAAAGCACAATGCTTGAAAAGCAATAAACCTCTGTGGGTAAAGAACCTGAGTTGGTGAGGTGAGAGAGGAGGGGGTGAAGTGAAATTGGAGTATTTGTCTTTGTAAACAACAGAGAGGTTGATTATTATTTCAAGAGTTTTAGGCAGGTGTAGAAAAAATGCTGTAAAGTCAGTGTTAAGACAAAGGGTGGTCACACCAAATATTGACCTGTTTTAGATTTTTCTTCACTTCACTAACGTTTGTTAATTGCTAAATATAATATATTACAATGTCTATCTTTGAAAGCATTCTTTCTGTACAGCATTTTTTTCAGTACCTGCCTTTTGCACAGTACTATATACACACTAGGGCTGAACGATTTTGGAAAATAATGTAATTGCGATTTTTTTTTACCAATTTTGCGATTTAATATGCGATTAATTTGTAAGCTCTTTACCTCCTGTATTATTCAAAATGGACAAGCAGTAAATCAGTGTATACTAGGACCAACACAATATTAGCTAGATTAAACATACACTGTTCTTTCTTGTGGGTTAGGCCTGTGTTATGATGTAATTTGGTGATTCACAATGGATAAGACACATACCTTTGGTGTGAGAGTCCCGGGTTCAATTCCCCACTGTGACCCATCCACCAGTGTGTCCCTGAGCAAGACACTTAACCCCTTTTTGCTCCAGAGGCGTGTGACCTCTGACATGTATAGCAATTGTAAGTCACTTTGGATAAAAGCATCAACTAAATGAATAAATGTAATGTAAATACATGAATTGCAGGGATAATTATTATGAGCTATGGTGGAGAAGAAATATCAAATTTTAATAATATGAGAAAGATAATTTGAGAGTCAAGTCATGGCATTAAATTTATATAATATCATCAGCCTACCTACAGATCACAAGAACAACTAGGTTTACCACAGTGTGTTATACAAAACCCACAGTTCAACCACCAATTAATGAGTCCTTATCTCAGTTCAAATCTCTTAGTCCATCTTTCTGTATCCTAGTAAGCAAACAAAAAATACTCAGTTTGGGGTTCAATTCAAAAGTTGGCCAACGAAAATAAAACCAAGTGACGCCTCTCGTGTTTAGTAATTCTCCGACAACACCGGAGTCCCCCACCCCCGCAGCCTGCGATGCTGGTGGGCTGTAACTCGGGACAAACTGCGCCTCTTTCGGACGTGTGAGTTTGGTTTGAAACGCTGTTTCACAGATATTTCCTATCACCTCACTACACGTGTCTTTCTGTTGTGCATTTTTCCTGTCCGTCAAAACGGGGGATGGCCCGAAGATTTCACCCACCAACACCACCACCCAGTTACCCGCGGGTGGCGGCTGCTACTTTCATTCCCTGTATGACACCAAAGTTTCTGTCGTGTCAGCTTCTGTCAAGCGTAAGGCCATTGTACAAAAACAAGTCAAGGTACAGCATAAGGTGGGAAGTTGATGCTTTGTCTGCAGACTTCTTTACTCTTGGATGTCATGTGACCAGAGTGTAATCGCAGCCTTTGCGATTAGAAAATCTCGTTTTCTCACATCACAAATGCCATTAATCGTTCAGCCCTAACACACACACACACACACACACACACACAGAGTATATATATATATGTACATATATATTAAATACAGACTAGATCACTACGATTTATTGCATTATTGTGTGGATTGGAGGTTTTGAATTCAGTTTTATTCTACTTCAGTATTTGTTTAGCAGAAGCGCATACAATCTTAGTCTGGTAATAAGTATGACTGGGTAGATGGGTCATCTTTATGGTTAAGACAATAAGATTCAAGATTAAACACTGAGTTTACTGATCTAAAGAAGTGAGCTGAGTTCTGAACCTAGAAACCATCAGGTAAACGTTTGGTTTTCGTCCTACTTCTTAGTAACTTCAGACTAGTTAAGTTGTATAGGTAGCTAAGAAAATCAGTGAGAAATATTAATTCACAAAACCTAAACTGTTTGCTCATTTAGTCTGTTATTAATGTAATTAACATGTTTTGAATTTTCAGGTAAGCTGTGATATTTTTGCGAAATCATTATTTTAAAGTATCATGATCAAGTGTCAGGTTGGAAATATCAACATTTTAGACTCCCCAATCTAAACGAGTCATACCGTATGTTAACAAGTTTGTTTTACAGTAGTTTCAATCAGTTATGCAGCAGTTATACCTGGAAGCTAGTAGATGTAAATAAACAGAAACAACTTGTCTCTAGGTAGGAACTAGTTTGTGTGTTTGTGTAAATCTCCATTTAGTAAAAACTTACATTATAACACGGGTAAGTTAAAACTGGTGCATTCAACTGCTGGACCTGAACTGCTAGAGCCATGCTGCAATGTCTCTATTAATGTATAATGTATAATCAATATTATTACATGTCAAGCAAAAAAATAGACATATGGGTTCATGATGTGCTGCTATGCATGGTGTTAGTGTCTTTTAATTTTGTTGTTCTGTAAAGCACTTTGGTCAGTCATTGGCTGCTATAAAATGTGCTATATAAATAAAAATGAACTTGAACTTGAACTTGGGTTGATATTAATGTGACCAAAATAAGTCAACACTAGCTAAGCTCTATCCAAATATAGACAGACAGACAGAATTTTGAGAAAAACTGCAAAACAAAATGCAAATTAATACGTGTTTCCATCCATGACCGATATGTGATTATTAGGAATTGGTCAAATAAAGTGCTAGTAGCGCTAATTCCCTAGTGCTTGCCAGTAAACCACAGCAGAAGAAGAGGGAGCAGCAGTCTGTTTCCATTGCACTTTGTCACATTTAACTTAACCCACTTTTCAACCTCAGCCAAGCCTAAAAACTTTTTTGCAATAGTTTCAGATTCTTTCCAATTTTTCAGAGTTGCAGAGTGCTTACACGTTTATTTATGCACAAATTAAAGATGTGCATAAAACATGTTGGATGTACTCAGGAAACTCTTTGGACATGCAGACAGACAGCAAGGAGGTCTTACTCTTCCTCTGTCCTCCTACAATGCAGGGCTTGTTGGTGTCCACACAGGGCATCTCAAGACAGTTCTCCAGACGCCCACTGGGACCACAGCTGCAGACCTCGTAGCACCCAGCATGACCAGCACGAGTCGGCACCTGGATATGAGCGTCCTGCTGCACCAGAAACTCGGAGGCCTCACCCAGTTTACAGCCTGAAGACACACACAGACCCATTCAGAATTACTGCCACGCTGCAGGTTTTAGACTCTAAAGCAAGCAGAGTAAAGCTGTAGTTGGTCGTACCTGGCACACAGAGGTATGGCTGACAGTTGAGTTCATCAAGGCAGCCCTTCCTGTTGACCTGACATAAGTGGTTGCTGGGGCAGGGGTTGGGGTTGCATGGATGGATGACCTCCTCAACGATGGTGGTGCCTAGAGAACTGGGGGCTGGAGGGAGTGTGTGAAGAGGTAAAGGTGTAGGTGAGGGGTGGATATGGAAATGAAAAACATCTGTTCCATCTGCCAATTTACTTGCAAATAAAAACATCATAAAGCACTGGGGAAACATTTGCTAAAACTTATTAAATATCCATCCTATATCTTTCCTACAAAATAAATGTTTAAGTTGTCATATTTTTTGGACCAATTGCGACCTGAATCAATACGGAACATAACAGGCAGCTAGTGTAAGTTTTGGAATTTGTTTCTTTCCAGTTACAATATTGTTTCTTGTTGATATTTCCATTTGTAAGTGTGCCCCTCTACAGTACATCTCACTACAGGGAAGAGTGAGTGCTCTCAACGTTTGAAGTGTCTCAGACATTCCCCCTGAGGAATATGAACGGGTCGTTGTGACTCACTGAGGTATCTGTGGAGGGGGATGCAGCGTTCAGGGTCATCAATGGGCGACAGCAGCTCACAAATTCTCTCTGGAGTTTGTCCTTCATGGAAACGTTTCCTGTCTCCACACTGGGTCAGGATGTCCACACAATCTGACCTGAGGACAGGTAAGAGATAACATTACACTAAAAAAGCCAGTATAAATCTGCTGGAAACAAATCTATCATATTAAAGTGGTCATGTGTAACCTCTCTGTCTATAAATGTAGACATTTGGAGGTAAGGAGGGTTGTAAGCTGGGCTGGGTGCAGAGTGTGAGGCTCTGCCAACACACACAACCTGTAATGGCTTTTTGCAGAAACCTTTTCAATCTCATTTAAATGGGAAACTTATTCATCCGGACTGGGGGACCAGAGAAGCAAGATTTCCCCAGCTGGATTTCTCCTGGGGAAAGCTGATTTGTGGACCATCTATACACTTAGCTGGGTTTATAAGCATCTATGTGGAATAAAGTGTCCTCTACTACCAGAACTGACATGTTGCTAACACATCAATCTGTGCACTGCAGCTCTAGGGTTGTGTTTGAATCTCGGCCTGTGATAAAATATAGCTATAGATAATAGTTAAAAGTTATTGGTATTTTAGTGGTGAGGCAAAGATTCTGTGTGAGGTGAATTTAAGTCAGAAATCAAACTGATTTCATTCAGTGATCAACAGAGAATACCAGTACCCAACAGTAGTTAACATTACAGCATTTACAGTACCTTGCTTTTTTCGTAATTTAATTATTTCTGTCATTGTCTTGGTCCACAAATAGGCCTATATTTTGGTGTTAGCATGTTTCCAGATTTGCACAAACTGAGCTAATAAAACAAACATAACAATAAGCAGCTCTTTGTGCAGAAAAAACTCAGAGATCCACTTTAAAATACGACAATGTTGCTCCAGTTGTAATTTAAATGATAGGAGGATCAGCGACAGAGTTCACCAAAAAGTCAGTAGGCAATTGTGCCTATAATTATTACTGGTGTAGGGGTGAAAAATGATCCACATTACACCCACCGGATGGGATACAAATCACTGACTAGAATATGTAATGTTAAAATCCTGAATGGGGCTTATCTTGTACTTTACATTTTGTTTTGCTGTCTGAGTAAATCTTGATAATTATTTCAAAATATCAAAAAAAAAGTCAGTATTTCTAATCAGCCAACTTTAGTTTCCCTCCACATTTTTTCTCCTGGTCATGTGCGACCCTGTTGCTACTTCCTACTGGCTGGTAACTTGTCCCTTTAAAGATGGTAGTAGACCTACTTGCATATGACGCTCCCTCTGGACTTGCTGTGGCAGGGTTTGATCTGCAGGGAACAGGCCACGGCCTTCCACATGTCTGGCAGACACTTCCTGATGTCCAGCACAGGGATGTTCATGAACGGCATCTTGATCGTCCCATTGGACCACAGCTTGATGTCATTCATGGCGCCCTGGTCTGACTGGACGTTACAGCTGCGGAACAGCTCTGTGGGCCTGTGGACAGAGACAGACAGAGGTGAAGTCAAAGTGAAATAAAAGGTGGTTTGTACCTAAAACATAAAACATTAAAAAAATTAAAGCCGCAACTTCCTGTTGCCAGTAGGTGTAGTCCTAATTGCCATGTAGATGTCCTGAGGCCAGGAGTCTTACCAAAGCACCTTTAGGCTGCCAGTAATATAATTCATTTGGAAGAAAAAAGAAAAAAATAGGGTCCTGGCACATTTCATGCTTGTGTCCTACTAAGTGTGCTCAGAAAAAAAGCAACAATCATGTGGTTAATACTAGCACTAGAATATGGCTGATAGCAGAACAATGTGCCCTGAAACTGTGTAGAAAGAGTTATGAGGGTTGTTTTCCCCTTCCACTACACCAGAATCTTTGATGTCTGATTGGTGGGTTTGGTCTCAAGTTGAGTCAGCTAATTGATGGTTTAAAGGGAGAAGGTTCCAGGCAGAGGTTCTGGGTGTGGTTCCATCATTGCATTTGCTGCTGATGAGTGGATGCTTTGTTTATCTTGAAGCAACCGTGTGTGTGTGTGTGTGTGTAAAACCACAGACCAACTTGATGTAATCCCAAAATTGTTTTCATCTCAAATCAAAACTCAATACAGCCACCGGTTGATTTTTATTAAGAGCAACTTACTACACACTCAAAAAAATCAGGAGTCATCATCTTTTTTTCCCCCCAATCAAAGTACCAAAGCAGAAATATAATCTATTTTCAGGTTTAGAAGAACAAAACCCATCTTTCACAACTTTACTGTTCATAGGGTTAGGATCAGCCTAACAGTGTTATTCCATCAACCATTCTTTTATTAAAAGGGACCTGTTATGCTCGTTTCCAGCTCTAGAATTAAATTTTGCTCGATTATGGCTGTAATTATTACTGTGTTCGCCGTCATCTCCATTTGTACTGTTCATTGCATTAAGAAACATTTTTTTTTAAGCTATTGTTGTCCAATAGGGTATCCATTAGTTAAGTAAAGAATTAATGACTGAATGAACGAAAGAATGAATTAATGAATATGTTAGGGAGTTACTTTCTGGATCAGTACGGTAAGATGCGTTTAAAAACTATCCAGTTTTGGGATTTGTTTCTAATTTAAGGTTCACTGCCTTCCACCCACACAGGCACAGAAACATGCATGCACGCACTGTTATTAACTTCATGCTCCTTTGGCCTAAAACACCACCGCTAGACCAGTGTTTGTCTTCCATGCTGCTCCCGGCTACACAGCCCAGTGTTTGAACCCCTCAGGGGAGGACAAACCCATACAAGGCTCTCCTGGAGCCCATCAAAGGAAACTCAAAGGGTCTTAACCACAGTTTGTTTGCCTGAACTTCAAATCCCACAATGCCACAGCATGAGCTCCCTGCCATCATGATCTGAAACCACAATTTGTCACAACAAGCTTAAAATCCACTAATATGAATAACACACTCAAATACTTCAGAGGGGGTATCACTGCCTCAGCTCATAATGCTGTTCACTCTGAGAGAAGCTTCAGCCACTGGAATCTCATGTCCTTCCAAGTGTTGTACATTTCTCTGGTAGTCTGTTCTGGTAAGTACTGTGTTCTGTATGTGCTGAGGTAGTTTGGCATATCAGACTTGTATGGGCTGGGAGAAAATTGCAGTGTTTCATTCGTCCCGCGTTTCAATCGTCCCGGCTCTCCCCTAATATGATGTAACCTGAAGTTCTGGTGTGGCTTCTGTCACCATCAGAACCATTCCTCTGCTAAATAAAGAAATTTGGACCCAAAAGTCTGTGACTGTATTCCTCACAGATTACTCTAGTGCACAACTGTGTTTTAAGTGCAAACCTCACTCATAGTAATATCCTTATTTAAACGTCTGTATTTAAATAAGTGTAAACGTCAATGGACCCTTTCCAACAGACAAGATTAAAGGTACATTTCCCCTGTGCTGAGCAACATTTGTTTCAAGCCTCTAAATAAGAGGGAGTAAGAAGAGGAACCCAAGAAGTGTTTCTTAATATGTTTGGCACCTTCAGTGGTAATTATTATTAATAGTATAGAAATTTATTGGAGCAATTATAATAAACACAAATACCAAATGTTTCAAAAAACTATACAGCATTTTTAAAATAAATGACTTCTATTTAAACTGTTTGTTACTCCAATCCAATTGAATCTGTGTGATAAAACAAAGTCACATGCAAAACATGATCTAGGCTTTCCAGAATGCCCTCCAGAATCAAGTGGCTGTGAGCTTTTGTGGTTGCCTCACTCACTAGGTGACCTGCAGACCACTGTGTGTATGTATAAAGTATATCTGAGTTTGTTTTGATGTGTGTGTGTGTTAGTGTGACTTCCCAGTGCAGCCTTTGAAGCCGTTCCATTTAGCCTTTGCACCATCTGTAGACAGTGTGTAAAACATGCTGTGGTACTGATAACTCCAGGGTCACACTGGGTTCAATATAAATCCGTCTCTTGTTTTCCCTCTCTGCCTCTTATTTTTCTTCAGGCTCTAAATGATGCATTTTCAAACAGATGTTCAGAAGCACAGTTAAATGATTAAGAAGTGGGTTTTCTGAAGAAACTGTAAGTGTGCTAGCTTGTGCTGATTGCTAGTGTAAATACTGTAAAACGATTTAAGTTTGAATTCTTTGCATGTCAAATATTGTATGAGAGTGTCAGTTTTGGAGTTTAGAAAATTTCTGAATTTCCAGTTGAAATGTAAGCACTGAATGTGTCTAAAGTGTCAGCTGAAGTGTTTGAGCTGAAAGCAGTTGAAAGCAGTTAAAATGAGTTTAAGTGAAATGGCTGACAGCACAGTAATTTTGGTTTCAACTTCTACAGTAAAAAACTGATGATTCCTTGCAGCATCATCCAAACGTGAAGCATGAAATACTGTAATTTATAAAGTATAAAAAAAAATCTGATTACTCATCAAAACACACATGTTCACTTGCTTCTAAAAGCATCTGGTCAAACAAATCTGTCTGAGAAAAACAAGTTGTCAGACTGAGAAGTAGCTTCTGAAGGCAGTAAAATATTTTTGTAACCCTGAAGTGAACCTGTGTTGTTTTGAAGAGTGTTCAGATCACTAAGTACAGTTTTAGTAGGCGTTTTCACTGACATGAGAGTTAGTACATAATGTCAAAATATAATTTGTGGGTAAAATAGTCCTCGCAGATAAAGACAAGAACCGAGAAGGGTAGTGTTACTTTCGTCAGACAAAACTAAACGAAATATGTTCATCAACGACCTTTTTTCCCCTGACAAAAACGAGACAATGACAAGACGGCGACAATGTCCATAAACACTGACTGTGACTACGATAACGTGCAATATTGTTGATGAAAAATGACGAGACTAAAATGTAATTCATAAAATAATAAACGTTAATAAAATCTCTCTTTGTTTTTGTCAGTATAATGAGGACACAAAATATTAGAGGCCATATTTTCTCCCTCTACATTTTCACTTGAACAGTGTTCATTCAGCTGCTTTTCTGGAAAAATGTTACTGTGGAGGATGTGAGCTCTGGTGATGAACACAACATGCTAGGGTGAAAGAGGCGCTTCGATATTTGGTCCCATTTCAAATACAGTGGCGGACAAAAAAGCAGAGTGCCTAATTAGATCGGACAGCCAGCAATGTGGTTTTAAGATTCCTGGAAAAACACTACGAACTTGAAGCGGCATATCAAGGCTAACCACTCAGAAATTGAGATAAATTTTCTTCTTTGCAATAAAAATGAGAACAAAACTGTTATGACTTAAGGATTCTGGTCTTGTTTTGGTTCCATTTTGTGTGTTCTATTGTTTTGTCCATGTTTGTTCTGTGTTCTATTCATTCTGTTTAAGTCTGTTTTTGGTTCTGTGTTTCTCTGTGTTATTCATTTACATGTCCTAGTTTACTCCCGTATCTGGTTTCATGGTTTTGGGTTCTGTGTTTCTATAAGCTTTATTTGATCTTGTCATGTTTAGAGTTTTGTAGCAAAGTTAGTTCTTCTGTTTATCTGCATTTTTTTACCTACTCGACTCCCTAGTCCTAGGTTTCTATGTTTTAGTGTAGTCCTGTCTCCTGTTTGGTCCGGTCTCAGTCCATGCCCTGATTTTGCAGTCTTTCCATGTTTTGTGTTTTACTTTGGTAGATCTGTCCTAGTGTGTTCCTGTGTGTTTTACTTCCTGTTTTACTTTGTAGTATTCAGTACTCATGTGTCCTTGTCTAGCTTTGCTGCCTGTTTGATTACCTGATGTGCTTCAGCTTCCCTCCCTGCTCGTTTGTCTGTGTATACAAGCCCTTAGTTTAGTCCCTATCTGGTCCTTGTTGTTGTCCAGTGTTGAGTGTGCTGCTGTGCCTTGTTCCCTGTGTTCTGAGTTCCTGGTTTGGATTTCAGCCTTGTTTGGATTTTACCTGCATCTGTGAGTCAGCCTGAGTGTTTCTGTTTGAGAATAAATCTTTTGTTAAACTGCATCCTCTGCCGGTGTCTGTGTTTGGGTCCTCACCTAATTCTGCACTCAACGTACTCCATGACACAAAACTATACAAAAGAGTTAGAAAAGACTAAAATGATGGTTAATGAGTAAAACTCAAAAATCAGACTAAAACACCCAGACTTTTAGTCAACTAAAACTTGATTTAAAAAAATAGTATACAGTGGACTATATTGGACAAAAACTAACAAGGACATTTGACCCAGGACTAAGACTAAATTTGAAAAAGGCTGATAAAATTAACACTAGAGAAGGGAAGCAGACAACCATGAAAACTGAGTTCAACCCTGGTGAGTATCCAGAAGTCTGACCTATTGTTGAAGTTGGTGCAGTAGTTGAGGTCCTTGCAGCCCAACTGGCAGGGCTCCCTGACATCAGCCAGACAGTTGATCAGCTCCGTCTCCCCTGGGTTATACTCACAGAGCTGGTCAAAGTCCTGCCACGTCTGGCTGCCCCAGTTAGTACTGATCTCCTGACACATGTCCCTGTCAGAGTACAGACTGGGTTATAATAAGAAAAACAAACACATTTCACCTCAACCTGTACTCTGTTTCAGAATATAGGACATTAATGTACTGGCTTCCACTAAGCAGTGGATGTCATGTGCTAAACAATGTGCAGTACCTGCAGATTGAAGTGTTTGCCTTGGAGCAGCAGTGCAGCTTGGCACAGTCCATCTTGCCGGGATGGGGGGTCTCCTCTTCAGGTGGGGAAGGAGGGTGGGCGCTGCCCAGAAAGCACTGCCACATAGGGTCCTGAGGAAGAGGCTGGGATTTACACTCCTCAATCAAACCCTCCATGATCTCATTCTCTGTGCTCATGGTGCGAAGGATTCGCCGGCAAGCCATCTGGCAGTGAGTAGCCTCTGCCCGATCACAGCAGTATAAACCTGGAAGTGAGGGACAGAGGGACATAAGTGCTGTACTATATCATCATACATATCACAGTCCCACAATAGAAAATTATATATACTAGAAAATTTTATCCATAACGCCAAGCGGGAACCTGACAAGTGAAACCAACACTGTGCCTTAAACATGCATTACTTCTAACAGCCAGCAGGGGGAGATTCCACTGGCTGCAAAAATAAGTCCGATTGTATAGATGTCTACGAGACAATGAGGCTACTTCTCACCTGAATAATTACCTCAGTAAACACTTTCCTACTGAGTTTATGTTTTCAGTTGCTAGTTTCAAGTCTTCTTCAACGCAGCATGGTGTAAATGATGGTAAAAAAAAGCAGGGTATGCTTTAGGGTGCAGCTACCTTGTGATTTACAAGTTGCTCCCACGGGGACCTGTCAGGCGTAGCAATGTGTATCTTTCCCCAGCACCGCCCTCTCATCCAAATATTTTCATTTCATTTCACAAAACATTATGGCAACAGCCAAATTGTAAAAATTGAGGCTTCAAAACGGTAATCCACAAACCAACGGGTGACATCATGGCTACATCCACTTCTTTTATATAGTCTATGGTCACCCACTCCTGTTTCCATGTTGAAAATAACAATAATAATCCATCAAGAGTGTCTGTAGTTCAGTCTACTCTTGATCAACCTTTCACACTTTGGACTTAAGGAGCTGCCTTACATTTTCTAAGGTTAGTGGCTGACCTGATGATTGTCATAATTATTAAGTAACATCTTGCTTTTAATGTGCGTTTGAAGAAGTTACTAAGTTTGTGACTAATCGTTCCACTCTGACAGCCGAGGTTAACAGTATTTTCCAGAAGGAGGCTCCCATCCACTGTCTTTCCCAAGTGAAGTCAATCAATAATGGAAAATGTATAAAAGATACATTAAAGTAGTATGGATGGATTTAGAGAACATAACATCACAAATTAAATGGTATTTGTAGGACATCACAATGACTGTCCAAAGGTAATGCTGTAAGATTGAGTAATAACCACAGGGGATCAAATGCATGGGGAATAGCAGTAGTAGTTAAGAGCTGAAATGAAGCAGGCACTGGTTATAAAGTCTTATAAAGTGTTATTACTGAGTAAATAGGATTTGACTTATGACCAAGAAAATGAATCGAACATTGAAAAGGAAGAAAATATTTTACTGTAAATATGATCTTGGGATGTAAATATCTCCGCCACAACCCAAAAACATTAAGGGGCTTTTAAAAGATTTCTGCTGTTTTCATTGTCTTAAAGTAATCCTCCACTAAAGATCTATCTTTACGGGTACGTTCTCGTTTGAGTGGAAGAGCCCTCAGGTGCATGCACTACATGATGCATTACAGTCTTTCTGCTGATGACTGGTGACCCTGAAGTCAGAATGTAGAGAACTGGCAACTGGTCATTTTCATTGATTTACATATTGGTTTATTTATCTTTCATCTTGAAATGTATTTAATCTTTTCAATCTTTGCTATATTTTGCAATGTGATATTTATGACGTGCTGACTGTGTGTGGGTGACCGTGGGTGGGAGAATGTGGTTGCTGTCATAGGTATTCTGTACAGACAGACATGTACTTTATTTTTGCTCCCCGGGGGGGATTCTTATGTCACAACAGCAGTACACGCACAAACTACACAAGAACAGTGCGAAAGAACTAATATCAAAACACAAGTACTAACATAAGAGTTAAAATAAAGTAAAGAAGTATGCCGTTTGAACATGTGCATGCACATAGTGTGCAAACTGTTGTAAGGAATGCAAAATGAAAGTAATTACATATGTACCATTCTGTGTGATGAATAAGAAATATTGTTGTTTTTACCACAGCATAAAAATGCAGCACAGCGCAGGAGTCCAGGTCGCAGCAGTGCTGTGCCACCGGAAGCCGTGTTGTTTTATTCAATAAAACATACTAAAAAAATCCATCTTTTGAATATCAAACATACTGCACAATTCTCCCTATAAATTTTTCTACTTCTGGTAGAGAACTGCATCAACAGTTTTCAATGGAAGAAGTCGTCCCAATAAAATCTCATAATCCAGAGAGTCAGGGACGCTGTTACTGGAAAGAACTGTAGAATGTTTTGATGCTTAAAGCACCACAAGCAAAATTCCATTCACCTCTACTGTATGGGAACATACAGAGATGTGTACATCTGCAGTATAAAGTGGAGATGGACTTACTTTCTATAGGGCTGCGTATGGGGTAGGACTTGGTGAAGTTGCTGACACAGCTGAGCAGCTGAGTGCTGTGACTCTGACAGTACTCTTTGACAGCAGTGATCTGGGACACAGTGGGGGTCGAGTCAGTCCTGAAGATGGCTTGGCAGTACTCTCTACAGGTGGTGTGACGCCCTGCATAGCTGCAGCATGTGGAGCCCACTGGAGGAACAGACACAAACAAACACACACACATGTTAAATACCTAAATACACATCAGTGCTTTTGTGGGAAATCAGCTAAAGATAAGAGTTTACTTATCATTTTTCAAAGTATGTGTGAAAAAACATATGACTTTCTGAAAACATCCATCAAACCATCAATACATAGGGGGTGAACCTTTCATCACTGACCCATCATTGACTTTTGACATGATTGCAAAACCAAAATGTTGTTCACTGGTAAAAGGGCTCCCATTATAAAGACTACCAGGACATGGTAAAACCATCCAGCCTGACCCATCCACTACATCCTGCTCCTGCCAATCAACTTGCTTTTCAGTCACTATGAGGGGGTCCAGCTACCACTCAACCAATTCACGGCCATTAAGCGTATTTGATGTTGATGTTCTTACATGAATCTTGCTATTCTTGGGATGTATCCACATGGTTGAAATGTACTTGTACGTGGCTTTGGATAAAAGCATCAGCTAAATAAATTTAATGAAATGAAAGTGGCCATATGGTGTTGAGCTTATCAGCTAAAATGCTACTTCTTAATGGTGTTGAACACTAATATGTGTATAGAATTTTAACAGGTACAGAATTATTTCAGGTGCATAGGAAAGTTGGTACTAGGGCAAGCACGTGAAACTAGTAAATCCAGACAAATTGTGTGGCAAGGACGGGCATGAGCATTAAAATTAGTCTTTCGATTGAATGATTGACTGAATTGGAACAAAACAGTGTTCTCTGTCTGCAGATCAACATGCTAAGTCAGATGAGACAGTAGTGATGAAGGTTTCACTACTGTTCCTTGAAGAACCACCAGAAGCTTTTTTGAAAGGAGCATTGGAGACCTCTGTCAATTCTAGGACAGCACGGAAAATACACAACATCATGACAGTTCATTGTTGTCTCTCTTCGCTTGCATTGTACTGTAGCTGCCACAAAGCAAAGTTTGACGCAGAGCCGAATATTACACGGCATATAGAGTGAGAGTGGGTGTTGCCATAGTTTTGTTTCTCAGGGATTTCAGTATTTCTTTATTTTGAAGCATGTCTTAGGTTGCCAGCTGGTAAGACTATATATATTTGTCTGTTTATTGATTGTATTTTCTAATATGTATTTAACACTGCCACTGATGATTTATGATAAAAATTCACAATCTAAGTATTCATTTTCTTTCGGACCTGAATATTGTTTCATTGACAATGACTGGACCCATGTGCTGAACCCTCTGGCAGATAAACACACCTCAGCTTTCGTTATTCTGGCTATAGTTGACTGACATTAGACCTCTCAGCAGGAAGTCACTGACCTGACATCCTGCCAGGCAAATAACATGGCTCTGCTTTGTGTGTGCATCGCTGTATGTTGTGTATCTACAGTATGTGCGAGACAGTCCAAGAATGAGACAGTGAGAGAAACATAAACAGAGAAAGACCAAAACAAGCCCATCTATTGGTCTGAGAAGATAGTGGTGTGCTCAGGGGGTTTATTTATTTATGGAAGGAGAAATGAGCTCGAGGTTTACAAGGTTTGCAATTATTGGCATATTCTCTGTCCATCTTGAATATGTGTGTGTGTGAGTAACAACTTACTTTCATTTTTGGTGATGCAGCTGTAGAGTGAGTTCTAGGACGAGAAGAGAAAAGCTGTGGTGATACTGACTCGAGCTGTTCAGCTAACTCGCAATTTTAACACAGTATAAAACAAAAAGGATACTGAAGCTTTATCTCAGTGGCTACCTACGTTTTTGGTCAATGACTGCTTAAAATGTCTAAATGGACAGATGTGAGTGATGTTTCCATCTCAGACTGTTTCATCTAAGGCCTGACAATGTGTCAAAGTTCTCAGAAAAAACAAGACACACAAAATATCATTTTGAGCAGCACAAATCTGTTTGGTTTTATCTTTCTGATTCCTGAACTATCTTGTGATCCCTCAGATTGATTTTGGTAGGAATCCATTAATATTTCTCATCTTAATGAGAAAAGTCTTCGTTAATTTTGTATTCATTCTTTTTTTGAACGTATTTTGTTGTCTTTGAATTGTTTAAAATGTTAGTTTAGTTTTCACTTAAACATAAAATATGTAAAATAGAAACCATAAAATTTAGTATTAGTATCGTATTATGTTTCACAGTGGTATCAGAGGTAGTAGCAGCCACCTCAATTGGTGAAACGTGTAGTAGAAAAAGTACAGGTATTAGGAATAGTGGTAAATATATAGCTTAAGCTTAATTTTACTTCTCTGAAATGCTTGAACTTACCTCTGTGACTTTTTTGCATACTTTTGTTATGCCATTTTTAGATGATGCCTTCAAGGGAAAAGAAAAGAAATTCTTTAACACAGAACAGGAAACACAGTGTAGGTCGGCCTAACTTACACAACAATTAAGGTCTGAGTAAAACGTTATTTACGATATCTCACCTGTCTGCATTCCTTGCGACACTCAGGGGAGATAGCCAGCTCACAGCAGCCCAGCCCCACCCAGCCATCTGGCTTCCTGGATACTCCTGCAGACAAATCAAACACCACAGACTCAACTATATGTTATGGTCATCTATTTTATGGAGGTTAGCTTGATCCGTTTGTGGAGACTGATTTATTTATTGGGACAATACTGGCCTTTATCAAAAGCTTCATATATGTGTTATCTTTTGTTAATGTGGGGTTCAGGTTCACTTTTCTATCTTTTTGTTACCTGGGCCCAGTTGTTCAAAAGTAATCTGATCAGATTTTGGCTATTGGATTGTATCAAATCTTGAAAATGGGTGGTTCAAAAGAAAAAAGGATTTGTCCCTCATCCAAAAGACTTCTTCGCTTCTGACTGAGTGGTAGGGAACCTCAGTTATTTAACCTCTGTGGAGGACAGAGGAGGGGGTCTACGCCACCACTTATCCCCCACTTACAATGCTGTGCTTTTATCGCTTCCCAGGAAACTTAACAAACGTAACCTATTGGCCTCAGGTGAAGATGCCAACGATGGTCGTTCAGACTTCGCCAGGGGTGGTTCTAACGATCATAACGTCTGTCGTTACCACAGACAGGAGCACTAACAAACCAGTGGTATCAACGATCCTGGCAAACGATCCCACAGAGGTGAAATAGCTGAGTTTCCTTACCAGTCATTCAGAACTGAAGAAGTCTCTTAGATGAGAGATGAAATGTCTTCTAGTATCTTCCACCAATTCCAGTTGCCTTTGACTTTAACCTTCTTTGGAGAACTATGACCTGGATGACTGAGAATCTTCACAGATATCTGGATCAGGGTGATACAGCAGTGTTTCCCACAGAATGACAGTGTAACTGTGGGGCATGGGGTGGGGCACACACGTGCAGTGGATATTGACTACCAGCTATATACAGCGTGTTAGCCTTGAAAACCCAGCTGTAACATTAGCTTAGCTCTCCTTATTAGTTAGGCTCCTTACAGGCTTGCTAATAACTTTTTTAAAGCTGGGTCTCCGACATCGACAGCGTTGTCGGACAGATTTGTGCAGCTGTGTTCATGAGGGAGAGGGAGAGAGAGCGAGAGGATGTGCTGAACATGCGCTACGCCGCTCTGCAATCAAATCTGATTTTAATTGGGCTTGTAATAAAAATTAAAATCAATCTGATCCAGATTAAACTTTTCACTTATCACAGCTAAGAATGCACTCAAACAACCTCAATCATCTTCCCCCTCTAATGCTTCGGCAGCCCAGTAAGCTACAGTTGTTGCTGGAGTTTTGACCTCAGCTAAAACATGCTAGTCAGGCTCAATATGGCGCACACAGACAAATCAGAGCTGAAAGAGCCTCTAATGTAATTTAGATCTATTGTTTGGAATACTTATGGTTTCTTAGAAAGTTAAAGTTGTCTAAAGCTCTGTGTTGATCAGTGTAACTGAAGTTGGGTGATGTCATGGTTTGAACACACAATTAAACATGTAACTGTAAACCATTTGCAAAGGCATTAACTGAATACATCTGTTACAGCTGCTGTTCCTGCCCCATATAAATGAGCACCAGCTGCAGTAGTCCAGGAATTATCCACTACCCAGTGACACTCACTACTGATGATGCATGGACATCCAGGCCTACAGAGAGCTGCTAACTCTGTAAGACTTGTAGAGTGATTCTTGACTGACTTCAATGTTAAACATGTCAAAAAGATTTAACTCTAGTATTTGGTTTCAAGTAAGTAATTATATGTAATTGTAAATTTTACTTTATATTTGCTCATCTACAGTGGAGTTTTCTGTAATAACAATTAGGCAATACTGATAAACTGATTTCCTTTGTTCTTATTAGCCATATGCCAACTTTATAGTGTGTTCATTTTTACAGCAAGATTTAAATAGCTGCCATTTAATGTTATTTATATTATATATTATATATTTTTCAAGATAATTCACAAAAAAAATTCTCTTCTTATTTCTTTAGTTTTCCCTGCTGTGCCAAAAACATACAGAGAGGTGGATTGTGTGTACCATTACAGCCTTATTATTAAATGTGTTATATTATGTTGAGTTCCAAAAAGTTCCACTGCATTTTGCAAGAGTCGATGGAAGGCTCTCTGAGAAATGAAGGAAATCATTAATTGAAGTTGTCATGTTTAGGAGAAGCGGTTACACCCACAGAGTAAATCCATAAAAGCTGCAGGAATGCAGTAAACATCAGACAACTGATGATATCTCAGAGTCTGAGAGGATCTGAGGGCAGCTTGTTCCTTAACAGGTTAAATCATCACAGACTAGGCTGTCTTGATGCCACTGTTTGGTGGGTACAAAAAGGCAAGAATAACAGAACCTCCCAATCTGGAGGCTATTAGGCTTCTGACAGGTAGATTTGTTCCAAGCACAGGCAGCAGGATTTAAGCCTTTGATCCACTGCCTGCTTTCTGCTCTGGTCAGCCTCTGCTCTGCTTGCAGCTTTAACAACTTCACTTGTTACCATCTTCTCTCATGCAACCAGATTCACACAGTAGATACAGCTTTGGTTGAAAGTCTCCTTTTGATTTATAATAAAAATAAAAACAGTCAAGTAAATATGATGAGCTCTCAGTCGGGAATGCTGTGAAAAAAGTTTGTCTCCGCAGCCATTTTCTGTGACCCTTACAATAACAGACACATTAAAGTTTTATTATTGGAATAAATATGAGAATGAAATCTAAAAAAAAATCACGACAAAAATGTTTTTTTTAAAAACACACGTTAGTGTGTTTATATTTAAAACCCCTTGAGTAGATTTTTTTTATCTGATTATCATGTCTTTAAAGCTGCATTAATATATCTTGCCATAACAACACATGTTTGACACATGACAGCCTCATAAAGTTGAAATGGCTAACATGTTTGTTACCGCAAAATGCCAACTAGCTGATAAACCTGGCATACACATGTATTTATGTAATCATCCACTCGGCTTCAGATGTAAGTTGGTAAAATACACAGACTTTATTCTACAGATGCCCGCAATGTTTCTTATCTATCTATCTTAAATACAACTCAGGAAGTGTATCGTCTCGTCTCAGCTCGTCTCTTCCTCTTTCTCTGGTTTAACAGCTAACAACGCAACCTGAGAAAGCCTCTCTTAAAGTCGCGGTACTCAATTACCAGAACAAGCATAATGTAACAGCCTGCTCTACACCAATAACAGTAAAAATAAATAACTAAGTCAAATGCAATGCAAAACTAAAAAATTAACTTTTAAATATTTCTCTATTTTAATATATTTTAACTCAAAATATACATCTCACATAGTAAAACAAAAAACTATGTGAAAAATTATAAGCTCACTTGCCGCATACAATGTTAACAAAAAGTTTTCTATTTATACGCCCAACAGCCATCATTAACCAGTATTCAACCTCCTTTTATGGCGCTTTTCCATAACCAGTACCAGCTCAACTCTCCTCTACTCGACTCGGTTTGTCCGTGATCCGTTTTCCATTGCAGATAGTACTCAGAGATATAGTAGCCCTCAATGTAGCTGGTCGTCATAGCGACGCCACACACAACTGCCGCGACATAAGGTTCAATGTGACACCAGCGATCCACACAGCTTTCTCTTTATTTAAGTTAAAACATTTCAACATTACTCAGAATGTAAAGACAAGCTCAATGATGATGCAGTGAATAGAGACGATTCTCTCTGACCAATCAGTAGTCTGCCATGTTTTCACGTCACATTTTAGTATCGCCTCAGCTCGCTTAGAACCTCGACAGAATTGATACGAAAAAAATTACCTGGAAACAGGTCAAGGTACACCTTTTCCGCAATGGAAAACCAAACAAAGGTGAGGCGACCTGGTACTGTGCAGTGGAAAAGAGGCTTTAGCTCTGTTTTGGTCTGCACCAACTCCTGAAAAGAATATTGACTCTTTAGTTGCTAAATGCTCCACTGTGTTCACCAGTTAAGCAAAATAAAGTAACGCAATTACAGTAATGTATTGCTTTTTGCTGTAACACAGTAATATAATGCATTACCAAAAACAAACGTAATATTATACCCGTTACAATCTCAGTAGAGGCGTTACAATGCATTTTAACCCAAAATTAAGTGATGTTTTGTTTTTTTAATAAATCACCAACACACACACGAAACATTTTGGCACCAGTAAAACAAATCCATGAGTAAAAGAGTAACATTATTTCCTGTTGCAGGAATCCGATGGTTGAGATTGCAGGCAGGGTGCAAACTACGGGGGAGCTCCTCTTAACAAGACGGTAGATCACCTGATGGATCATGGGTAAATTTTCTATATGCCATGTGTTTTTGCTTTAACGAATTACTTCATGATTATAGAGGCTGCTGTCAGTTCTTCCTGACCGATCTTGTCGGAGTGTCGGGAGATTCAAATGATCAATGACGTTATGCTGCTGTACCTCCTGTGTAAATGTGCACAGCGTCTTTCTTAATGGGAAGACGATTCATCCTATTATAATAAATTAATATAGCAACAGGCTGAATCAAAACAGTAATGTTTAAACAGCTCAAACTGATTGATGTGGGGTCATTTATGATACTACTCCTAAGAGATGCCAAGGTCAGAAATTTTCAAAAGCTAAACATACAAGGTTTAATATTAGCACTCTTCTCTTACCTGGAAGTGTAGAGTTAATGCACGTCCAAAGTTCATTCTAGAAGACAAAGGAGAAAAAACATCAATGTCAGATGTCACTTATGGTTTAAAAATATGTCCTAACAGCTTTTACAGTTTTTGAAGCAAAACTCCCAAAAATAACCAAAAATTCCACATTTGTTTAAATTGGAGGAAGCCTGGTTGGAGCTGAAGTGAGACAAAGAAGTGATACCCACCACAGTTGACTTAGATAGGCAGAAACCTCTTCAATCAAGCAAACAAGCTCCAAAATGTTCTGTACCACTCTTTAAGCCACTATTTTCTTTTGAGAACCAGTATCATTTTAAATCCCAATGATGACACACAAAGAAGAAGAGACAGTAAAATGTCTCATACAATAAATAAATGATTGACTTTTTATTGTCGTCATACTCTCACGTGCATCCACAAACCTCTGCAATTATGTAATTGCAGCTGGTGAGCTCATCTGCCATGTAGCTCTCCAAATTTGAAATATTGCGGCCCGTGATGATCGGCTCATGGTTTGTGTGACCAACCATCGTAATCAGCTTGTGGTCACAGAAGAATTTTCTTTTGTCTAGGGAACATAACCTTAGACATGCTGTATATTTTTCTAACTGGGTGACAATTTGAGGGTTCTCTATAGCAGATATGTCAAACAAACATCCAGATGTATGCAGGTTAAATGGTGGTAACAGTCCAGACGCTGGTATATCCACCTTTACCAAACATAAGTATATCTTACAGTAAACTGTTGGTGCACTACTATATACCTAAAAATGTAACATCTAAGTACACATTTAATATATCTACTAGAGATTTGGGAAAGTAAACTGTTGACATGCTATTTAAAAACTGCTTGCCCACAACATACCTTTAGTTCACTTTTTAGCCCTTTTTCGGTTCAAATGTTCCAAGTATGGAACCACAGAAAATAAACTCAGGAACTTAACTAGGTACAAAATTTCGAACATTCATATTTTTGAGTTTCTACCGCTGCGGAGATTTGACAAATTAGATGTGTGATGGATTTATAAACAATGTTCAATGCATTTAAAATGCAATTATCCAGGAGGAAACAACAACACTGTGATTCTGTTCTTTGTATTTACTGTTGTGAGACTATTGTTTGAGTGGGATTTAATAAATGAATGAAAAGGAGATGTCTGTGAAGGTTCTCAGTCATCCAATTCATAGTTATCCAAAGAAGGTTAAAGTCAAGGGCAACTGGACTTGGACTTTAACCTTCTTTGGATAATGTAAATTATGTAATGGATAATGTAATGCCAAGCTGAGGTGGGAAAGGGCACTGAAAACTCCAGAAGGGCTGTCTCCAAAGCAGACAATCCGCTGCGTGTTTGAAAATAATGTATTTCTGCTTGAAAACTAAACCTCCATGAAACAATCAAGTTCTCTCATCACCGCACCCTCTCTTTCATTCACGCACTAGCTCTCTCCACCTCTACTCCTTCTCAGTTTATTCGCACTTCTTCTCACTTTCTCTCTGTCTCTCTCTTTCTTTCAGTATTTTTTTAATTGAGCTGGAAAGCCTAACTTTGTGTTTAACATTAATAAGCAACAATAAATGTCCACCCCTTGTCCTAGGTGCACCCAGTACTTCCTTGTTTCAGCTCCTGCAGTGTCTGTGTTTGACCAACAGTAAATTACTTTTTAAAGCTTAAGTTTCTGATCATGTACACACTAGAGTACATAGTAGTTTAGTGCTTTTTTGGCACAATATATACCTTCAGGATGCTATCACACTTGCAGTTGGGTTCATTTGGTCCAGACAAATCAAATTATGATGACTGACAGCAGCTCAGCCTGCACTTTATTTCTTCTAATGTGTATATGTATGTTCTCTGGTGTCAGAAAGAGCTCACACAGGAACACGACAAGCAGTCAATGTGAGTGACTTTGTGTTACTCAAGAGAAAAGGTCCATTTTTTTTCTGCGACTAACTGACCAATGAAAAAGACTCCTTTCATCGATTAACGGTTTAGTCAACTATTAGACGGCAGCCTAAATATTTACTAGGTTTTTGCAGGGGCAATTTTATGTCAACTTTTCAGGTGACTTTCCGGTCTGCTTGGTGTACATTTGTCTACAGCGCAAACTACAATGGGAATGCCTGAATCCATGGTTCTGGACAGTGGACACACTCCATTGGCTTTCGGCTTTCAGCAGTGGTCAGTCGACTCTTGGCTCCAGCTCTATTAAGTAAGTATCACATTAGTACTTTACTTTTACACATTAAGCACTAATGTCATTAAAAATGACTAATGTGCACATTTAGGGTTAGTGTTTGTGGCATTTCATTTTCTGGAATGTGGTGAGAAACCCTTTGGACTAGGGTAAGGGGCAGGCTCATTATCCTGTCAGTAATAAATTATACTCAACAATGGATTGAACTGTTAAGATGAAGAGAAGCTTCTCTAATTTCACAGAGAACAAACATTACATTCCTTGGATCAACAGTGTTGAAAAACAGGAAAACATATGAATGTTATGAAACTCCCGCTGGGTTTGTGGTGAAATGTTGTGGGATTAATCATCACAAACAAGCTCGCCTGTCTCCTCTGTCTAAGGGACACAGAGATACAGATAAAAGAAAGAAAGACACGGAAAGAGAAGTGTGGTAGAAAAATAAATTCTTTTATGCTTTTACAGGACAGTCATTTGGTAAAATTTCCACGTTACTGTTAACACTCCCCCGTGTTTCTTGGCTGGGGAACAAAGGTTCCTGTCAGCGGGCGTCAGCATCATTTACAAAGCAGGCTGAGGAGTAACAGTGTCTTTACATGAAGCATAAAAATGATTTGTGACGAAGCAAGGGCCAATAAGGCAAGGACGTGACAGGAACAATAATGTTGTTTATATGAGCCAAACCCCTCCAATCTACATCTACCCAGAGAGCCAGGGCCTTTGTGTCTGTAAAAAGTTTTTTCTCTCTCTTCCCTTTCAGGCTGATAGGATTGAAATTTCAATATCTTTACATTACACCAACTAAACAGTGTTTCTGTCACAGTCAGAAGATTATAAAAAAACTATGAATAAAGTTTAAACATTCAGTACATGTGCATAGTTACATGGACGTATGGAATGAAGTCTGGATGCCTTATTACCATGGCTAGATTAACCTGTTAGGGTTTTCAGCGTCTTCCTCCTCCTCAGTGTACAGTTTTCCGTATTCTTTTTAAAGTGCCAGTTTAACATTTTAAATACCTTGTTGAAACATGATTTAGCACTTTATTTTAGCACTAATAGTAGTATTTCCGGAGAGTTTGATGATTCTCATAACTTGAAGACTCTGGTTACTTGTTCTGTCAGTCCAGCCACTGTGATGCTTCTGGAGGTCCCTGTTGATTAATAAGTATCCATCCTAGTCTGAAATCAGGTCTGGATTCTCATCATCCACTCATTGTACCTGTTGTCCCTGAATTCCCCCAAGACCAGCAACAACTCTTCATCTTTATCCTCCTCCTCATTAACAAGGTTAGAGTTAATGTTAAGATACTGGTCAGTGGGTTTCCTGTACACCGTGCTCCTATCAGCCTGCACTCATGTCACATGATGACAATTAAATCATCTCCATGACAACTGAGCAAACTGAGCTATGATGTTTTCTTTTAGTCAAACTACTGTTTTTAGAAAGACTGAACTTTCCCGCTCATCACTATCTACGTCCTTTACCTCCTCTTAGGCCTGGACAATTAAACATCAACAATAATTATTGTGATATAATTTTTTTCAATAACAATTATATATTATAAATAATTTGTTTAATAAATATTCAATAAATGTTTGAATTTATTTACTTGAATCATACACAAATTATGTCTTACTCATGCATATTTGTTGACAAAGAGTTTATCATAATTGTTTTGAATGTTCTAACTCAGATTTGTGAAGTGATCCACTGTTTGGAATCAAGTGTTGACCATAAGGAAGAGTTTAACTTTTTATTGTTTTAACTAGGGCTGAACGATTAATTGCCTTTGCGATATTATCGCAATGTGATAAAACGAGATTTTCTAATCGCAAAAGCTGCGATTACACTCTGGTCACATGACACCCAAGAGTAAAGAAGTCTGCAGACAAAGCATCAACTTCCCACCTTATGCTGTACCTTGACTTGTTGTTGTACAATGGCCTTACGCTTGACAGAAGCTGACATGACAGAAACTTTGGTGTCATACAGGGAATGAAAGTAGCAGCCGCCACCCGCGGGTAACTGGGTGGTGGTGTTGGTGGGTGAAATCTTCGGGCCATCCCCCGTTTTGACGGACAGGAAAAATGCACAACAGAAAGACACGTGTAGTAAGGTAATAGGAAATATCTGTGAAATGGCGTTTCAAACCAAACGCACAAGTCTGAAAGAGGCGCAGTTTGTCCCGAGTTACAGCCAGTGCGCTGCTCACCAGCATCGCAGGCTGCGGGGGTGGAGGACTCCGGTGTTGTCGGAGAATTACTAAGCTTGTCTATTAAACACGAGAGGCGTCACTTGGTTTTACTTTTGTGGCCAACTTTTGAATTGAACCTCAAACTGAGTATTTTTTGTTTGCTTACTGGGATACAGAAAGATGGACTAAGAGATTTGAACTGAGATAAGGACTCATTAATTGGTGGTTGAACTGTGGGTTTTGTATAACACACTGTGGTAAACCTAGTTGTTCTTGTGATCTGTAGGTAGGCTGATGATATTATATAAAATTAATCGCATATTAAATCGCAATATTGGTAATATTGGATTATTTTCCAAAATCGTTTAGACCGAGTTTTAACATTTTTGGCCATATTGTCAAGCCCTACCTCGTCTTGTTATTAAAGCCTTCTCTAGTTTTCCATAACAGAAGCCATGTGTTGTGTGGCTCGGTTGGAAGAAAACAGCTTCAGGTAAATTCTTTGCCTTTCTTTACTTTGTTGGTCTTTCTGTTCTTCTCAGTGTGCTGACAGCAGTCTTTTTTATCACTGCTTCTGAGTGTTTCTGCTTTTTAGGATCAGTATCAAAACATATCCATTATTCATGACTAAGGACCAGATTTACTAAGAAAATGGTGCTCTGCAAATGTGCACTGCAATTTTCATTGAGTTATGGGCCACAATCTGCATGTAAATATTGGTACTGTGACAGCACTAAGCCCTATTTCTAAAACTGCAAATATAAACCTAACTATCAGTTACATCTTAGGAAATCATATTTCCATAGTTATATTAGAATATCATCTGAAATAAACTTTTACAGATGAATATTTGCATAATTTTAAGCACTATTTTTATTAAAGACGTTTAATGGGCAACATGTAAACAGCATATAATTCTACATGCATATGTGACTTTATCAGCATACATGTGCATCATGCATGTACTGTAAATGTGTGTAAATAGTTTACAGTGTTTTTGCAACAGTTCAGCTAAATGAGAACAGGACACATCTTTAAATGAGAGCAAACATTTAAGACTGCCTAAGTGTAATTACTAGTGTGGTTCTAATAGGCTGCTTGGAGAGAGACAAGACGAGCACCAAACCAGCCTCTCTGCTTTGTAATTACCATGGTGGGATGAAGGAATGAGCTTGTGTGTGTGTGTGTGTGTGTGTGTGTGTGTGTGTGTGTGTGGTGAGAGAGATTGTGTGGTTTAACCAGGTGCTCACAACCAGAAACCCACTTCCTTTATAAGTCTAATTAGAGAGTTGATACTAATTTTGTCTTAACACTGGCCAAGAGATTACCATCAGGAACACAACAAAACATCAGAACATTACATTTGCTCAAAGTTGAACCATTTTCCTTTCATTTCCCATTAATATCATAAATAATTACTCACTCTCAAAAATATGTTCAATGTTTTAAACAACAGATTAAGATTTTTGTAGTTTCAGTTATAATTTTTACAATATGCGGCAATGGATAAAACACACTTTGATCCAGCAAATTAAAGGTCTCTTTCCACCAATGCCCAACTAATGACTGAGCTCTTCTATGTTGGTTCCCTCTATTACTGAAAAGGCATGCAAATTGGGTGCAAATTCAGTTTTACAGAGAACTGCATTGAATTGAACTGTTTGAAGAAAATGTGTTACTGTTATCTAATGTTAGGTAATTGTTAATGCAAGTGAACAGCTATCTAACATTAGCTCAGATCAACAGCGTAACTGCCAACAACCTTTAAAATACTGTTTAATTTGTTTTTGCCATAACTGGCATTAGGTCCACTAACAGTGTCTAAATCTGTAGTATGGTGACAGGACAAGTTGGTATGTGCTGCCTAAATGCAGGAGTTGTATATTTACAAGGTCAATGGATTATGGATGGAATACATTTAAAAAACCTCTCTACAACACAGTGACTCAACATTTGGAAACGGACTATATTTATTGTATTTTCATTATGATTTCCTTTTCATTTATTTTTCAAAATAATCAGTTATTTGTTTTGTATATAAGTGGTGAAAAATCAGGATTTTATACAGTCCAAACTGACTTCAGAGCGCTTGTTTTGACTGAAAAAGATTCACTTTTAGATTACATAAGAGATGGTAAAAAGCAGCAAATCCCCATATAAGGGAAGTCTGAACCAGTAAATGCTTGCTATGTCTGGCTTGACAAATGACATAAAAGATAAAGTGATTATGAAAATACTTTTATATTATTATTTTTTAAATGATTAAATTAAGAGATTTCGTCTCTAAAGATCATTAAGAAAGGTCAGTGGTATCTTGTTGGTTTAGCCATCAGTAAATTGATAGACCAGTTAATTACCTATTGGGGTTTAGATCAGATTTTCTGAACATAACAGGATCCAAGGAGCAGGTCAGGAGTAAAGCCTTGGTAAGTTTGTGTACAGGCGAATACCCTTCTGAACACCGAACCACTACAGCATAACCAAGACACCAGAGGTAACCCCTTAATACATAATCTTTCATTCAGTACATCTAAGATTAATTTTATCATGCCAAAGGTTCTGTATGATTGCATTTAGACCTTTCTTGATGCAATACAAAGCAGCAAGATGCAATGCTATGAGTCCCAATTCAGGCTGTTTCATCTCACCACATCCATTTGAATTGGTAAATAATAGCACTCCAACCAGGTTAAGAAGGGAGTTGTCTGTGCATGTAAATATAGCTAGTATTGTAATATAGGTAGTGGACTCACCAAAGACTCTGGACAGTAACCTGGTAACCTCTGGAGGAGATGCTTTAGGCGAGACTCACTCTTTATAGTTGCAAGCTGAAAGACAGTAGCAAAATACAGAATTAATATAGCACATTCTACATCCATGGATGTGTGCCTATGCATGGCTTTTGAGCAGAAGATAGAAAGGTTTTACACGTCATTGTGCTATTTTCCATCAAGGGGTGGGATATTGGTGTCTTCAAATTCCAATTGGTTGAGTTGAGTTGTGCAGAACAGTATAAGATAGAATGTGAGCTACATAAAACTGAAATGGGGGTTCTACAAGTTAAAATTGTTCCTTTTCTGCATGGCCCTTCAGGGGCCTTAGGCAACCACATGTGAAAACAAATTCATTCTTAAATGGATGAATGATTGAATAGAATTTGTCACATTTAACAATTTTCTTGAATTTAGAATTTGGGAATATTCTAGTGGTCTTTGTTGAGCTTTTTCTGCAGGTAAAGAACACCTCACATACAAGCAAACCTCACAGAAAAAAAAGCTAAATAAATTCAGGATAATGATACAAATAAGTCAAAACGTAGGCAACTATAAGTAAACATCCAATCAAAATCCAAAGCAGAGAATGCATGTGAATGTTGAAATGTGGAAGTTGAAATGAATTGACTAAAAGGGCTGAAAGAAGAAATGCTTTGTGCTTTAAACAATTATAAAAAGTAGAAAAAGCAAATATAAATGTCCTTAAAGAGCATAACATTTTGACATTTGAACAGTTTCTGTAGTGCCTTCTACATACTCAATCAATATGTACTGCATACTACCTACTAAATGTACTATTAAGTATGCCATTAGACTGAAGTATACTCAAACAATAATGATGTAATGTAATATTTTTCATTATTATTTTAAGGCAAACGCCCAGTCCTCATCGCTGCTCAGCTCTACTAAGCTTCCATTTCCTCCTGGTTTCCTGTCAGTGGCCCAGCCAACACCTGTTCCTGCTTCACCAATCATCAGCCAGGCCATCTCCCGATCCTTGTTCCCAGTGGGAGCTACAGCAGTGACCAACTCCTGTGCCACAGCAGTCACCAGTTCCAGAGCTGCAGCAGTCTCCTGTTTCCCTGGCTCCGCTGGCTCACCTGTCAGACTCCCAGTTGTTGCCAAGGAGCTGAACAAACACAAAACAATCCCTGCTACCTGCGTGTGCTAATCCATTCTTTCACCCAGATTCTTTGTCTTTATAATTGGTATCTCTATAATAACAAACAACAGCTGTTTTGTGTGTAGGTTCACGTCATTTCCCGTTACACATTTCACAACCGTGATGTTTTAAAACGCGGTTAATAGTGAAATCCGGTAATCGCTGCACCCTTGGTTACAGGTTTATTGTTGATCATGTCACATCAGGTTGACTTACAGTAAGCTGTCATTAATTGCATTAATTGCAGCTGTAAAGCAGCCTGGTTTGAACGTAGCAGGTGATACAACATTCATGACTGACTTGAGACTTGACTTGACTCTAGCTCAAATACTTGTGAGCATCTCTAGGCCGATGCGATATGCATCTCGATGCATTGCCACGGTCCGGTACATTAAAGACACATATGAAGCAAGTACCACTGTGGTACAATACAATTTACCCCAGTGTGATTCTACACAAATTTATTCAACACAATGCGATAAAATGCCATATGACACGATGCAAAAGAATGAGCATAAGCTATGCAATTCAATATGGTACAGAGACTTTGATTTGATTTGACTATATTAATCATACATTTACTAAATCCTAAATTACATCACATATGTGTTTCTCTAGTACTGCAACAGTATAAGCATCTCACACAGTTTCTGACAAATAAAGCTGGGCCTGGACCTTGCCTCTAACAAGTCCTTCTTTCTTGTTCTCTCTGCTCAGTTACTATATCTGTAAAAAAAAAAACTTGGGGTTTGAAATCGTTTTTTTTTTATCTTAAAAGTGATTTTTTCTTTTCCCAATTGGTTTAGGGTCGAACCACATACCTTGCAGTTATGTGGTGCTCTGTCTACTCTGCCACTACTTGCCCAGGCTGTGAAACCAATAACCTGAATAGAACTTTAACAGTTCAAATTCAAGCAACCAATTTAAAGCTTAAATAAAATATGGTTGAAAGTATGCAGAGGTAGAACAACTTCAAAGTGGATTAGGTTGAACAGAATTTGAATATTTTCCCCATTTTTTTCCATTATAAAAAAAATACAAAAAAGGCAGAATACAAGCATAAACGTCCTTAAAGAGCATAATGTTTTAACATTTGAATGGTTTCTGTAGCTCAAAGCATGCAGAAGTAGTAGTAGTAACAATAACAAGAGGTCAAATTAAAGATGAACAATAGTCAGCATTCACACTAATTCTATCAAAAGACTAAACCATGTAGATACCCAATAAAACATTTACAAGTTTAACACAATAAAAAGCACACCCTGTCTCTGAGAGACTTAAAGCTTAACACACAGACATCATTAACATCACACCCTCCTGGAATCAGGGCGACTCATTCTTTCCAGCATCTCCAATGTCCATTATTGACACATGTCCATAAATCTTGGAACAAAAGACACTCCTTAGAACTTCAGATCTTACCTGAAGATCAAGGTGATTGTTGTCTGTAATGCAAACAGGAGCTGCTGGAGCTACAGCAATGACTTTTAGAGAGCAGATTCACCAAATGGCAAAAAAAATAAAAATAAAACTCTGCTCACTGTCTCCTTGGCAATATTATACTTTCTGTTTACATTACCAAAATCATGATTTGGACCCTGGTATGCAAATTCCAAAAAAAAGGGGCCCCCTAGGGCTGTGTGCTGACCTGTTTACAGCCTGTTCACCCTGTAGCTGTCTGGTAAGAGGTACAGAAGTATCTGCTGTCGCACCACCAGATATCAGAACAGCTTCTTTCCTCAGTTGAGACTCCTCAACTGTATGTTCTGTGTGTGTTCTGTAAAGAGGGCTACAATTTACATTTTTATTGTGCCGACCTGTGTTGTAGAATGCATTCTACATCATGTCATATGACAAGTAAATGTACCCTGAACCTGGAAAATAGCTAAATTAATTTTTCCAAAAGAAAAAGGATTTACAAAATCCATAAATTAAACTTCTTTTTGTTTTTCGCAATCAGCCCAATTTTTTTAAAGAACTAAATCTCATTTTGTCCCATCAACATGGTTCCTGTGTCACTGCACGTACTCTCCCCTATTCACTGACTTATATTGAAATTTGCCATTTTTTCAGCATATGGCAAAGATTTGTGCAAAGATTTAATCAAAATTATTTTAAATTGCATAATAACTATATAGTATAGTACAACTTACATGTTAACTGATGGCATTTAAATTTTTCTGGAAATAATCATAATATATATCATGTAACAATAAGACATGTCACTGCTGTAGAGTGAAAGTGAGCAAAAGAGAAAGAAAGCCTAGATTTAAAAGAGTAAAATCATAATGTGGACCCTGGTATGCAAGTGCCAACACAGGAACCCCCCAGGGCTGTGTGACCCTTCAGATTCTAGCTCAATTTTGGATGACTCAGGCCCCATCCACACACCACACTACTCGTATTCGTTTTATCTCCGCCCACACCAGCTTTTTAACTATGTATCAGAATTGATCTACGTTTATATTAAAACTAGGGCTGGGCACGTTAATGCGTTCACTCATTAACGCTGACAATTATTTTATCGCATGTTAACACAGTTTTAAATTATTATTAGGTTATTATTATTTTGAAAGTCTGTTGCTCACTGGCTCTGAATACACATACAGTCAAACCCTGGGTCACAGGAGGGGCGGAATGTTGATCAGCCTTCAAATCACCCACCCAAACAAGCAGCGGAGGGAGGCTTCGACAGACTACACTGGATGCAGCGTGTGGGAGAAGTAGATAAACATCTACGCGGGCGTGTGAGGCAAGCACTTCAACTCACTCTGACAGAGACAATTCCTACTGAACATAGACTGTTTATGCTGCTCCCTGATAAAAGAAAAATGTTTCCAATGTTTCTGTTTTTATATATATTAACCTGTTACTCAGAAGGTGGGGCCAGTTGCAAAAAAGTTTAACGTTGAGTCCTGACATTAATGTTTAAGTTGAGACTTACAAGAAATATTTTATTGCCACTGTATAAAGGGAATACTGCTGGTATAAAGCACCTTATTTGTTTAATGTGTTTACAAACCACATGTTGTTCCACTTTGGTGTAGATAGCAGTACATTTAAATTAAAAGTGCGCAATACACTACTTTAGAATTCATGATTCAATTTTTAACAAGTGTAAAGACAATAATACCCAAGAGACAATAATACAAAAACAATACAAGATAAAAGCATGAAAACATTGAAAAGACTAAAATACACGTTTAAGATAAATATAAAATTAGTAAAATACAATAAAATAAAAGGGATAAAATAAAGTCAAATAAGATCGGGAAAGGCTCTCCTATAAAAGTATGTTTTAAGAAGGTACTTCTTAAAGAGTTCACTGACTCAGCTGACCTGATTTCCTCCGGCAGGCTGTTCCAGAGGCTCGGGGCCCTGACAGCAAACGCTCTGTCCCCTTTAGTTTTCAGTCGAGACTCTGGAACAGATAGAAGACCTCTGCCCGAGGATCTCAAGGTACGTGCTGGTGTGTATGGGACTAAAAGTTCAGAAATATAATAATAATAATAATAATAATAATCCTTATTTGTAGAGCACTTTTCAAAAACAAGTTACAAAGTGCTTTAACAAGTGTAAAGAATAATACAAAAAAAAGATAAGAGCATGAAAATTTAATATAAAATTAGTAAAATACAATAAAATAAAAGGGATAAAATAAAGTCAAATAAGATCGGGAAAAGCTCTCCTATAAAAGTATGTTTTAAGAAGGGACTTAAAAGAGTTCACTGACTCAGCCGACCTGATTTCCTCGGGCAGGCTGTTCCAGAGCCTCGGGGCCCTGACAGCAAACGCTCTGTCCCCTTTAGTTTTCAGTCGAGACTCTGGAACAGACAACAGACCTCTGCCCGAGGATCTCAAGGTACGTGCTGGTGCGTATGGGACTAAAAGGTCAGAAATATAACAAGGCGAGAGGCCATGAAGAGCTTTAAAAGTGATCAATAGAATTTTAAAGTCAATTCTAAAACATACTGGGAGCCAGTGTAATGAAGCTAAAATAGGAGTAATGTGGTCATATTTCTTTGTTCTGGTTAAAAGCCTGGCAGCTGAGTTCTGGACAGTCTGGAGTCGATCAATAGATTTTTGGGTTAAACAGGTGAAAAGGCTGTTGCAATAATCCAGGCGTGATGAGATGAAGGCGTGTAAAATGGTCTCGGTGTCCTTAAAAGTTAACATAGATCGAATTTTAGCTATATTTCTAAGTTGATAAAAACATGATTGAACAAGCTTTGTGGTGTGCTGCTCGAAATTTAAATTACTATCAAACCAAACACCAAGGTTCTTTGCCACAGGCTTAATGTGATTTACTAGGGAACCAGCAGATGGCAGTATTTGATTTGCCATCTGCTGGGACCCGATGACCAGGATTTCTGTTTTGTCTGAGTTCAGCTGGAGGAAATTATTTGACATCCATTTTTTAACTTCACAAAGGCAGTTGTTAAGTGAACTCAGCATTCCAGGGTCTGTGGATCTGACGGGCAAGTATATTTGTGTGTCATCAGCATAAATATGAAAAGAAATGCCATGTTTATGGATAATATGTCCAAGGGGAAGCAGATACAAGGAAAACAAAATGGGTCCTAAGACCGACCCCTGAGGCACACCATATTTAACTGGACAGAATGAAGAGACATAGTTGTTTACAGACACAAAACTTCCTATTTGACAGGTAGGATGAAAACCATTCTAGGGCAGTACCAGAGATCCCCACCCAGTGCCTCAGTCTGTCTAACATGATTTTGTGATCAATGGTGTCAAAAGCAGCGCTAAGGTCCAGGAGTACAAGGACTGAGCACATACCTTCATCAGCAGACATTAAAAGGTCATTGGTGACTTTAAGCAGGGCAGTCTCAGTGCTGTGGTACTTCCTAAAACCAGACTGAAACTTTTCAAATATTTTGTTATTTTCCAGTACAGTGAGCAGCTGTTTGGACACAATTCTTTCTAGAATCTTTGCAATAAAAGGCAGTTTTGAAATTGGTCTAAAATTTGTGGGAGGGAGGGATCTAAACCAGGTTTCTTTAAAAGTGGGTTCACGCAAGCCGTTTTAAAATAATCAGGGACACAACCAGTAGATAGGGAGCTGTTGAAAACAGAGATCAAATGGGGCCCAACAGAATATATTACTTTAGTAAAAATTTTGTAGGTATTATATCAAGTGGGCTGGAGGACACTCTCATTTGTGATACTGTTTTTAAAAGCTCAGACAAGTCGATGGGATAAAACTGGTTAAAACTCTGTTGTTGCTGGTGAGGAACCTCTGAGTAAGAGGCCACGGGGGTAATAGAGGCTCTGATTGACACCACCTTATTGGTAAAATAAGATAAAAACAATTCACAGTCATCATTACTTCCAGCTGAGGCACAAGGAGGGGTTGGGTTTACCAGCTGATCCACAGTCTTAAACAGAAACCTGGGATTGTGTTTATGTGTAGTAATGAGTTCAGAAAAATAGGTGTTCTCGCATCCTTAACCATTTATTGTAGTTAATTAATAAATCCTTCAGACTGAGGTAATGGACTTGGAGATTGGATTTTTTCCATCTGCGCTCTGCTTTCCTGCATTCCCTTTTTAGACTGCGAATGCTGTCATTTATCCAGGGTTGCTTACTAGCTTTAGACGTAGGCCTAACCTTTAGAGGAGCAGTAATATTTAGTGACGACAAGCAGATATGATTGAAGTGATCAACCAGATTGTTGGTGTTGGAATCAGACAGGTGTTGGCTTTGGCTCTGAAAGAATGCGCAAAACTTTGAAACACTTTGTTCATTAAAGATGCGACAACACACGGAGCTTGGTGAGGCGGCATGAGTAACAGGCGAATCGCAGCTAAAAACAATACATCTGTGGTCAGATATGGTCATGTCCACTAATTCCACAGAGGAAATGCTGACACCCAGGGTAAAAACCAAGTCCAGTGTATGACCACGGTTATGTGTTTGCCCTTTGACATGTTGTTTGAAGTTAAAAGAAGTGGCCATATTTAAAAAGTCAGTTGCATTAACATTGGTGGGGTCATCAACATGAATATTAAAATCGCCACAAAGAACAATTCTGTCATAATTTAAAACCAGAGTAGATAAAAATTCAGGAAGTTCTGATAAAAATCCTCCAGGCGGTTTTGGGGGGCGATAAATTATAACAAATATGACAGGTTGCAGCCCTCCAACTTTAAGAGTGAGAACTTCAAAGGAGCTAAATTCATCACAGCGTACTTGACGACATTTAAAATTTTTCCTATACACGCTCACTAGCCCACCACCACGACCACTGACCCTCGGTTGACTAAAGCAATCATATTGAGGCGGACACAGTTCAGCTAGCTGGCTATAGTCATTCATTTGCAACCAGGATTCAGTTAAAAACATAAAATCTAGATTTGCAGACAAGATAAAATCATTTAAGATAAAAGTCTTACTTGACAGTGATCTCACATTGAAGAGAGCCATTTTAAATGAGTTTGTTCTGGGTGCTGGAGTTGGTGCAGTTGTCCTAATCCTTAAGAGATTACTAATATTTCTGTGTGGGATGTGCACATTTCGGTTTACTGGTCTATGCGTGATGATGACAGGAATAGAAGTCTTTGAAACAGCGCTGGAGCAGACGGCTTTACATGCCAGCAGGTGGAGACAGTTGTTTGTGGCAGTGAGGCAGAGATCTGTTCAGTGAGCGGTGGTGTGTCCAGGTGTGCTGCATGAATGATTAGTCATTCACGTAAGACATGTGTGGACCGCACCACATGCTGTATGTGCGCAGCTAACATTTCTGAGCCCCGTTTGTTTGGGTGAAGTCCGTCTGTCTTAAAAAGAGACATTCTTTGCCAGAAAATATTAAAATTATCCACATAAAACACACGGTGAGCCCTGCAGGCGGACTGGAGCCAGTTGTGGAGGCCAAGGAGTCTACTGAAGCGGCCAGCACCGCGACCGACTGTGGGAATGGGACCAGAGATAAAAACGGACTTTCCACACTGCTTTAAAAAGTTAAGAAGACGGTTAAAATCTGATTTTGTCAGCTCAGACTGCTGAAGAGCTGTGTCATTTGTTCCGACATGGACTATCACTCTTGTGATGGAGGACGGGAGCGACGGCATCAGGTCCTGGAGTTTTTTTAAAATGACAGCCGTGGTGGCACCGGGGAAGCAGCGAGTGGTAGCGTTAAAGAAACGGAGGTTTCTGGTTATTGAGTCACCAATTATTAGTGTGGTTGGGGAGAAAAGAGGACGAGGAGATGCTGGTTGTTGGGATCCAGAGCAGGACTGAGCAGAATCTGCTTCAACACTGCGTGCGGACTGAGGATGGATTGTGTGAGCTGTTGAGTGTTGTGTTGGAGTAGCAGTAACAGACCTGAGAGAAGGGCTACCTGACGGTGCAGGGTAGAGACGGCCTCCGGAGCGTCTGAGCACAGCCTCCTTCAGGATCCTACGTCGGGAAGCGGAGGTTTTTGACCGGGATGACGGCCGCCGATCAAGTCCGGCGGCA